GAATCTCAGCGCATTGGATTTAAGACTCAAAAACTGCCGATATTCCCCTGTTTTAGCTGGGGCGTATTCGATTTGGTGACGCGTTTAGACCAATCGTGCGCGAGCATAACTCTGAGTATTCAAGTAGTGGTGAAAGTGTTCCTTTAATAGAGCAATAACTGATAAAAGGGTTCTGAGTAGTACAATAGGCGATAAAAGTATTCCACAAGTGGTGTCATAACTCATAAAATTGGGCAATTATCAGTGCAATGACTGATCAAAATATTTCACGAGTAGTGCTGTAACTAATAAAAAGTTTTCCAAAAGGAGTACAATAAAAGTATGCAAATTCCGGTGCAATAACAGATGAAAGTGTTCCCTAAGAAGTACATTTAGTAAAAAACAGTATTCCATTAGCACTAAAATAGCTGATAAAACAGATCCGTTAGTTGGTAATAGGCTCTTCGCTGCTGTCGTTTTCAAGCACAGTTTTGATTGAGCTTTTGTCCCCGTCACTGTTATCCTTTTTACTCCTAAAAACAGTTTATCAACAAAAGGAATTACTGAGATTACAGAGGTTAAAAAACCACAGAGGGTAAAAAATGTCATAACTTGTTAGGTAGGTTTTCCGTTTCTCAACTTTGTTGTAATGGTGGGGGATAAAGTTCTGAATTATGCAGCCTTATCCAATTAGGAACAATAAAAAAAAAAACTACAGATAAAGCCCTATTGAACTCAAATAAGGATTTTGTGAGGTGGGGCGTGCGCTGCACGTGGGGTCGGGAGGTGGGAAGCCGGGGGGAGGGCGCTACCTGTGACAGTTTTACAAAAATTGGCGACGTCTGAATCCAATTTGAGCATATTTATCAATAATTTTTCAACGGCTAGGTTAACCTTAAAATGCGATAAGTAATGCACTTTTATATAACTAACTTTTAATGGTGGAGATAATTAATGGTTTAGTCATGTCCTCGAAGGAATTACGTAAATACATGGTTGGGGACCTCTTTGATTCATTTCAGACATACAAACGTTTAGGCTTCCTTATAAAGATATCGATTTCTTTGAAAACTGTCCTCACCTGTTCTGTAGCTGGCGCATGTACATGGCTGCGGCGATTATCGCTCCCAATATCACAACAGCTATACCACAGAAGACGTAAACTGCTTTATTTGTACTAGGCGACTTATTCTGTGTAGCGGCTTTTTCCTGAGAATTAACCTTATAGACTGGTACTGAAGAAAGAAAAAATAAGAAGGTAGTGACTTCAAGAAATTAATCCCTTTCCCAAAATGGTTTTGGATAATTCAAACATTCTGGGAGTATTCTTGACGAAATAGCGATTGCTAGAATGGACTAGAAAATGGCCAACCTTATGGTATATAATTTCTTTTTAAAAAACCTGTCGGGCAATTTAGAAATATCATTGTTAGAATAATTGAGCAATTTTCAGCTGAGTGTTGATGGTAATCCGGGATTTTGGCTTTGCATTAACTCGCTCTGTGATTGGTCCAGAAAACCCGCGCCACTGTCTCAACCAATCAGATGCAAAACTAAACCTATCTCGATTTGCTTCCCTCGCGTTTTTTCGCGCTTTACCTCATTTTGTCGTTTTACCCCGAGTTCTCATTGGCTCATAAACTCATTTTCCTTTTTCTGATTGGCCGCTGTGATGACGACACTCATGAAGTAATGAATAAAGAGTCTGGTTAAACTAATCTAACTACCTTCATTTTACATTTACCATGTAAACAACTGAAATGCGCTTGTTTTTCTTGCAAGCACGTTTCTTGAGTTGACAAAATGTTTTATATGTTCCCCAATCCGATCTACAAACTTTACGCGATGAAAATGTTATTTGAACCAAAAATAGAATTCAAATGTTGCGTCTTATATCTGTTCCAACTATCAAAGGATTCAAGGGTAAAAGAAGGTAAAGCCTGTATGCCAACTGTAATAGTTTCCGTTGTGAGTTTGTGTTGTAACTTAGGATATGTGATTTTATCTTAAGAAATAAAGATTATTTAAAAAAAAAAAAAAAAAAACCAGCCAAGTGGCCCCATCAGGCCGACGCTTATCTTCTTTCAAAAAGAAATACCTTCACAAGTTCCATTTTTCACCACGGTTAGTTCTTTTTCCTCTTCGCAAGCTGTTTTCTTCAGCAGACATTCGTTGTCATACGTCACATTATCCGTGGCACAAACTTGTTTCACAACTTTGGGACATTCCTGAATACACTCGCATCTCTGTTCGTTTCCCTTATGCTTCACACAGCGAGAAAACGGAGCAGAACACTTTTTGTTGCAGCCTGAATCTAAAACATAGAGAAGGGTGACAACGTAATAGAAACTCTTTGACTCAAACCATCTGAGAACCCCTAAAGCTTGTAAAAATGTAAATCCTTGACACAAGCAAAGTCAAATCCTCGCCATCTTTGAAAACCGAAACGGTTTATTTGATAGATGAAGTTTTATTCTCGGACTGGCCACAGTTGCAACTTCGAGGAGATAAGTGCTTCAGAAGTATGTTTAAAACAACGGCACAGATTACGTTTAAGATTACAAATAATGTGCGTAAAATTCAATACGAAAAAAGAGGATACATCCGAACTCAGTAACTCAACAAGTTGATATATATTAACTTGTTAGAATAACCAAAAGATTCCAAAACTTCTTACAATTCGAACTTAAAGCATAGCAAATTGGTGTGAACGAATACTCATAAACAAAAACTAAAAAAGCTAAACTACAACTCCGTAAAAGAACAAAAGATAGGAGAGAAAAATGTCCACGTCAATTTTCAATGTCAATTTCAAGGTTAAAGTTCTTTGACGTGATTGGCTTATTTGTAAAATCACGCGCGCGCGTTTGAGTGTAAAAAGAAACAAAGGTGGGAGGGGAAGAAAAAAAATTTTAGTTTGAAATCCAAAAACAAAAGAAATTTTCTACAGCCTGATCTGTCAATAAAAATTATTGACAGTTCCAATTCCAGACAGTTAGTAACAAATCTTACTTTCATTCGGGTATAAGTGTGACTCTTTGCAGCCGTAAAGCTCCACACGCATACATCGCTGACCAACAAAAGAGGTAGGAGAGAAACGAACCAAACGGGCTTTGAGGCGAGGTTTCAGCCAGTGATGGACGATAGAGGACTGGTTTGTATTTCCCTTGAATTCCTTTTAGATTTGAAAAACGACTTAAATTGGTCACTATTGCACATTGGTGATCTTAAGTTTAAATAAATATTGGGTTTTTCTCCGTCTTACATTTTCCAGTGCTATCGAGGATTTTAATTGATTAGTCAATCATCTACTGGTAGTCAATTAAGTCACTAGAAAGGAATCTAAATTTCAAGCAAAGCCTTGGATTACTCAGGGAATAAAAACATCCATTGGTAATCAAAATAGGTTGTATAGACACTACTTGAAAACACGTACATGTTACAGCCATGCCAAATTTAAGTGCTATCGAAACAAATTAAATCATCTACTTAAACTAAGTAAAATCAATTATTATAAGGAATATTTTGTTATCAACAAAGCAAAAACAAAAGAAATTTGGAAAGGAATAAAGCAAATTATGTCTAAAGCCCAAAGGTTCCACCTCACCTAGCAAGTTAATTATTAATGAACANTCTCGACCTCCCGCACAGCAGTCCGGCGCTCTCCCAATTGAGCTAACCAGGCGGCGGTATCACTATCACCATAACCTTCTTCCATCTCCCTTTGAAAATGTTTTTCAAACAGTAGCATCCATACATTCATACAATACAGGCTCGCTTCTAAATCAACCTATTACATTAATACCATCAAAACAAACTATGGTAAATTAAACTTTCGCTTTGCAGCTGTGAAAGTTTGGAATCACCTTGATGAAAACATTAAACACCTACCCCTTAAAACGTTTAAAAAGAAAGTCAAGTTTAACATCTTACAGACTTACTGTTCATAAGTCAACTAGTACATATTTATTCATTTATTCTCTTATTTATTTATATATTCTTTTTTTTCCCTTTTATTGAACTATTAACTGCTTTGCTGAAGCTTTAGTGCCACCCTACCTTTTATACTTAAACATTACTTAGTTTTACTCTGCTCGATTAGCTCTTTAGTTATTCTGAGTTAATGTTACCTCTCCTGTATTACTAGATTACGTTGTGAATTAAGTTTACCTTTTATTTTTGGTAATAAAGCTGTTGTTGTTGTTGTTGTTGTTGTTGTTGTTGTTTCTAAGTATCGTTTAATACGCCAACACTTTCCATTTTTCCCCAAGTGGGAAAACTGAACAAATCCATACAAAAATCGCAACATCAGAGCTTTATTAAAAAGAAGTTCTGGTACAGACTTAACAATAAGCCACCGTATAACTAAAGATCAACCCTAAGACTCTAGTTAACAGGTTTCCCTTCAATCCAAGCATAGGCAGATGTTGTGGGGTACTTTTAGAAGTTATTTAGTCTTTCTTTCGAAAGAATTTATTCACATGAAAACATGTTTGTAGTTCGACTTAACCATAACAAACCACATGGCAATAGCTATATTTGAATGTGATGTGAGCGGTTGACTATTACTCGGTCAAACATAAAATTTTCTATGAGTCACCTTGCTTCTTCCTTTGTCACCCTCGATTAATATCCAGTCAGTACCATTCAAGCTGTAACGAGCAAGATATCCGCTGACCCAAAACTTTTCTGTGACGGCGCCTTGGGTAGAAAACCCTGACAGGGTATGGACTGTTAGCAAATCCACTTGAAGATATTGTATTCCCATGTCAAGAGTTGGAGCACTACACCAAGAGCTGAAAGCACGACACCAACAATTACAATTACTTCCCATGATATTTGACTCGCTGCAAAATGATTTTGATGCCCGATAGGCAAGCCTGGTGCTAACCAATATCAATATTTATGGTTCATAGCGATCTTACCTTTGCTAGCCTGAATCTTCACTCGAACCGAGATACTCGAACCCTCGAGGAAAATATCAATTTTCCCTATCCCTATGTCATTACTTTATCCTTTACCTTTCTTGAGGAGAGCTGATCAGGGAAACCCTTCCCTGTTTAGCGACGTGGTGCTTATCGAGTTCTGAGGATGCAGAGATCTGCCTATCTCTTATTTGTCCATTTCCCAATCCCAGTGGTGACATACAAGCTAATGAAGAATAAATGAGGTCGACCTCAGTTGTTGCGCATTGTTAGGGGACCTCATGGAAGGAGAACAGAATTGTTCAAACGGGGGCCCTGAGCTATACCCTGAGCTATACCTGGAGTCTTTTGAGTGAAAATGTTTAATTTTATATGTCAGAAAGTTG